TATAAAAAGATAGTTTTGGGTTGGTAATGCAAGTTAAGGTAGAGAATGAATTAGGTACAACGCTTTGAACTCACCAAGATAGGATATAAAATGGAGTATTTTTTCTCAATTAGGCAAAAGCAAATGGACTGGACATGGTTAATGTAATTCTTGCCTGTATATTAGTATATAATTAGTGTACTTGTTGTATATAGTTTTACTATGTTACTTTAAAAAAAACCTTTCCTTTTTGTTTAGAAAAAAGAAGGAAATGTCATGTGATATTTTGATTGTGTTCTAACAAATAAAACTTGCTTGGAGTCAGAGGGCAGAGCTAGCCACTAGCTAACCAGAGAAGTTTGGAGGACTCTAGACAGAATAGAAACAGGAAGTGGCAAGGCACAGCTAAGAGAGAATATAAGTCTTTTGGAAGGAGGAACAGAAGAGGTAGGAAACAGCTGGCGGCTGTTCCCTGTTCACTGATCTTCTGGTTCTTACCCCAATATGTGACTCTTCTTTTTTATTGAAAAAAGATTAATCATATTACCGCATCACACCTCATCCATATTTTAGTATCTACCTGATAAAGTTCTTGTGCTGTTCAATGGGATCAAGTAAATGACTGCTAAGTGGTCACTGTCCTTGTTACTTCTGCCCCTTGCAAAGATGACCAGGAGTAAGCAGAATTCAGAAGTTCCAATAGGGTAAACCTACCACTGCAGGTGATCTCACTCCCAGAACATGAGAATGAGTAGAAGCTGGGTCTCCATATGAGGAATGTACAGTTTTCCAGCTCATGGACCTGAGCAAGGCAGTTGTCATGAGTCCTGCAGCACCTGGAGAGAGGAAGGAACAGCTGAGGATGGAGTATGGACCTACAGTAGTAGGTCAGTTCTCACTTGCAGTCTTTCTCAAATATGTGAGGATGACTTAACATGATGTTCCAGAAGAAATGGTCCTGAGGCTCGAGAATCTTCAATTTCCATTAAGCATATATTTATTGAATGCAACTTCTGTGAAGTGTGATGGTGTCTACAATTTCCCAGTACTTTGTGGGACAAAGGCAGATGGATCTCTGAGTTTGAGATCAGCCAAGATATATAAGTGAGA